AGACCTTGTTAGGTAATAGCTCTCCATCCCAATGTAGGAATGCCTTCCAGGAATACTCATAGTGCAAGGATGGCAGTTGTCCTGCAATGTGAACTTGTCCTCTGTCACCTGTACTAGAGGAATATGAGTAGTGGAGGGAAACAAGGTTGAACTATACAGAACCAGAGGATTAATACATAAATAATTCCAATTCTTACAGCTCATATATGGCAGAAACTTGATGGAAGTGTTTTCAAGTTTGACAATTTCAAAAAATTTTATACAACATGCTGATAAATTATGAACTTGAAACATTATTAATAAATAAAAATTGATAATCCATGCTTCAGTAAAATCTGAATTACCCTGTTTCTTCAAAGAAAATATTAGAGTTGTTCTATGAAGAGGTAATCAAAGTGTAAGCAGTGGAAATTGTAAGAAAAACATTATAGTTGTGATTATAGTTATGTCCAGTTAATTCATAAAAATCTTTTCTTTTCCTGAATTTGGAAATTTCTTTTCCTGCAAATACATGTAGATATTTATAAGCTTTTTAAGTTGTGGAATTCGTTGTGATATTTTCTGAGTTGAATTTTTTAAATTACAAAAGCATTTGCTTATTATAAACAGTCAAGACAATACAGGCATACTTCATTTTATTGCGCTTCTCACATAATGCATTTTTTTTAAATACAAATTGAAGGTTCTGGCAACCCTGCATCAAAGAACTGTATCAGCACCATTTTTCAAATATTATTTGCTCACTTCATGTCTCTGTATCACATTTGGATAATTCTCATAATAATTCACACCTTTTCTTTATTATTATATTTGTGATGGTATCTGTGATCAGTGATCTTTAATGTTATTATAAAAATATTATGACTCACTGAAGGTTCAGATGATAACTAGTATCTTATAGCAATAAAGTACTTTTATTATAGTATATACATTGTTTTTTTAGACATACGCTATTGCACACTTCAGAGAATACGGTATAGTATAAGCATAACTTTTATGTGCATTAGGAAACCAAAAAATGTGTGACTCGCTTTGTTGTGATATTGCTTCATTGCTGTGGTCTGGAACTAAATCCAGAGTATCTCTGAAGTATGCCTATAAAAACAAAATGGGAGTTTAAAAAAAAAAACAGTTTTGTTTTGTCTTTTTAAAACAGTTTTTATATAATCACCATTACCCCCAAGATAAGCAAGATATTATTTTGATGTGTATTCTTCTGGCACTGTTCCCATTATTTTACAGATATATACACATGTACAGACACATACACAGATATATAATCTTTCACATCAAACATATTACCCTGAACCTTCAGTTTTTCATCTGTCTAATCATTGATGTTTTTCTTCATACATATAATCTAACTGTTCTTAGTAAATAGTTGTTTAATAGACCATATTTGGCATGACTTACATTTTATTTAACCATTCCCCCAGAAGAGTGGACCTTCTCATTTTACACATTTTAGCAACTGAGAATCAGGCAAGAAAAGGCTAAGACCTAAAGTGAGAAATGTTTCTTGGCCCCAGAATCTCCTATTTTTGTACATCATACCCCCCAACACACACACGAATTCAAGCATATCAAGATAACCCCAAGAACATTAAATAATAATGTTTGTGTTGTTATATGAAAGTTGAGTTTCAGTCAAGTCAGACTTTAGAGTCAGATTACTAAACTCAAATTCCATTACCACCATTACCATCTGTGATACCGTGGACAAATTCCCCAATCTCTCTTTGCATCTGTTTCCTCATTCATAAAATAGGGATGATAAGTGGTGCTTTAGCTGTCTTCTAGAGTTGTTGAAAGTTAAATGAATTACTTCATGGAATACCCTTACTATAGCTATTGCCATGGCCTTTATTGCTATAATTGTGTAGGTATTTCTTAAACACATATTAAGTTTGCACTTTGTTTTGGCATTTTGGAGCCAACAATTTGTTCTTTTTACTTCATTTCTGATACTTTCTAAAAAGTCTCACATGCCTTTAAAAATTCCTTGGCCCTAGGCACTTAAAAGGCCCCTAGCCCAAGATTTAAAGCAGTCTGATCTCAGCTCAGGCATCTTTTGCTAAGGTCAGTCTCCCTAGCGGGCTCTGGTGCAGGGGAATCCTGGAAATATTCAGGGCAGAGACTGAAATGCAAATCCTCCGCACTTTTTTATATTAATAAACTTTATTTTTAAAGAGCAGAGGTAGGTTCACAGCAAAATTGAGTGAAAAGTACAAGGAGTTCTGATATACCCTCTGTCCTCAGAAATCTACAACCTCCCCCACCAAAATTCTGCAACACAATGCACATTTTTACAATCATTGCACTCCAGTGACACATCTTTATCATCCTGTGTCCATAGCTTACATTAGGGTTCACCCTCAGTATTACACATTCTGTGGATTTTGACAGAGGTGCAATGGCATATATCCACCATTGTGGTATCACATAGAACATTTCCACTGCCCTAAAAATTCCCTGTGTTCCACCCAATCATCCTTACCTCCTCTGTAGTCCATAGGAGCCATTTATCTCTTTACTGTCTCCATAGGTTTGCCTTCTTGACTATGCTGGGTGGTTGGAATTATATAGTGTAGCCTTTTCACATTAGCTGCTTTCACTTAGTTATATGCATTTAAGTTTCCTCCACAGCTTTTCATGATTTCATAGTTCATTCTTTTTTAGCACTGAGTAGTATCTTTTTTCTTATTATATGTAATTCTGAACATTAGATTTTTTTCCTGTTCTATTTTTTCTCAGTTTTATTAAGATATATTTGACAAGTATTAGTTTTTTTAGCCATGATGTCAAAATGTAATTATCTTGATTGTGAATGGAAAAATAGGTGACAGAATTGAGTAATGGCAAATCTTTTTCTATTTTTGAAAAAAAGGTATTTAATTGGAGAACAATTACTTTACAATATCATGATGGTTTTTGCCATACATCAATATGAATTGGCCATAGATATACATGTGTCGCCTCCATCGTAAACCACCCTGCCCAACTCCCTCCCCATCCTCTCTCTCCAGATTGTCACAGAGCACTGGCTTTAGGTGCCCTGCTTCATATAGCAAACTCGCACTGGTTACCTGTTTTACATATGGTACTGCATATGTTTCAATGCTGTTCTCTCAAATCATCCCATCCTCTCCCTCTCCCACTGAGTCCAAAAATCTGTTCTTTACATCTGTGTCTCCTTTGCCACCCTGTACATAGGATTGGAGGTACCATCTTTTAGATCCCACATATATGAATTCATATGATATTTGTCTTCTTTCTGACTTATTTCACTCTGTATAATAGGCCCTAGGTTCATCCATCTCCTTAGAACTGACTCAAATGCATTTGCTTTTATAGCTGAGTAATATTCCACTGTGTGTATGTACCACAACTTCTTTATCCATTCATCTACCGATGGACAACTAGGTTGCTTCCATGTTCTAGCTATTGCAAATAGTGCTGCATTGAACATTGGGGTTACTAGTGTGTAAAGTTTTAATTAAGTGCAGACATAAAGCATTAAAGGAAGTCAAAGTACTTCAATGAACAGATTTCAGTAATTCAACTTATAGCAGTTCTAACTAAACTTATTTTTTTAACAATGCCAGCACTTAGTTTTTTTTTTTAAAAACAAGCAAGAATTTCTTATTGAGGACAACTAAATGGTGTCTGTCGTTTTATCACACAGAAGTTTCATCCATTCACTATACTTTTCTAATCAGTTCTACATGCAAATACATGTTTTTAATGTTTTGGGTACTATTCCTGTATGTTTGCTATCAAAATACATAAAACTAAAAAAAAAAATCAGTATCAGCAATTTACAAGTTTCTCAAAATAACACTTTGTATTAAAATACCACCAAATCCCACTAAAATGAAGTTATTTAATTGTTAATAATTGTAATGCAAACTAACAGGAAATTTTCCTTTGTTAATTATTCTCTGGTAGCTATTTTCAGTAGTTTTGACCCCTAGAAGACCATTGTGAATTTTGTGAACTCATGTGGGGGTTTGTCACAATGATAAAGGGATGCTATTAGACCTGCTGTCTTGGTGTCCAAGTTAGGTACATCCACCAAGTGTAATACCTACCCCCAGCATGTGATGCTTCCAACTCCTGATCTCAAAGATCTAGGGGATAAGTTCCCTTTTGCAGACATTTTTGAGGTGTCGCTTGCCTTCTTTTGTCAAGTCATCTACTGCTTGTCCGACTTCTAAACGTTTGTTGAATATCCTCTGATGTTTTCTCTCCCAATCTCTTGTTCATAAGGCATTTCTACCTTTTCCCCTGCCTTTGCTCTCAATTCAGTGGTTCAAAGGAAGAAGAGCTCACCAAGTGATCTGTCTGCTGGCATAGAAGCTCAGTGGGAGATAATATTGCCTCCTATAATTGTAGAAAATGCTTTAGGTGGTTTTGGTTGTTACGTCACCTGACTGGTGTTCTGGCAGTTAGTGCTTAGTTAGGGCTAGATCTGCTAAACACAGTGCCTTATGTGAGGTCATCCAAAATGCTGGTGGTATTCAGGGTTATCAGTTTTGCTCAGTCTTATATTCAGTTCAGTCACCCAGCCATGTCCAACTGTTTGCAAACCAATGAACTGCAGCACGCCAGGCTTCCCTTTCCATCACTAACTCCCAGAGCTTGCTCAAACTCATGCCCATTGAGTCAGTGATGCCATCCAACCATCTCATCCTCTGTTGTCCCCTTCTCCTCCTGCCTTCCATCTTTCTCAGCGGCAGGGTCTTTCCCAATGAATCAGCCTTGTATTAACTCAACATAAACACTACGCTTAAACATTAACATTTCGTAAAGCTGAGAGTAATGTACAATCTTATCCATTACTATTTCTAAAGAAGAGTTTTTTGAAACTAATTTGCATTCAGTAATAAAACTAAAAACAGTATCATGGCTCCTTATCTTAAAGGAAGAACACATTGGATAAATTGTTTTCTTACTCTAGCCTCCAGCTTTGCTACATTTTGTTTTCTTCATACTAACAGATATTTTGGTAAAAGACCTCAGTGGGATTGCAGAGGGGCATCAAACCTTAATGAACTTCATCGGCTATTAAGTGACATAATGATTAGAAGATTAAAGACTGAAGTTTTAACCCAGCTGCCCCCTAAAATCAGACAGCGTATTCCATTTGATCTTCCAGCAGCAGCAGCCAAGGTGAGAACCCATGTTTGATTGAAAGTCTTATCTGAAATCATTTTAAATTATACTGTGAAAGATTGCACATATTCCATATTTCACAGAAGGAAAAAATTCACTTCCTTAAAATAGGTTTAATTAATAAAGCCATATGAATTGTCTTATATCATTTCAAGAAAAGAGCAGGAAGAATTTAAATTTAGTCATCGAATAATGTGAAAAGATTTATTATCTTAGTCTTTAAAAAATATATTTCTGCTGAATGGTGAAAAAAACACTTCAATTGCTGCATAGACTTAGTACTAAGAATTCTAAGTATTTGTAGGGTGTGAAGCCCAGTAATTAGCAAGAAAAGTTCATTTTCTTGCTCTTAAGTACACATAGCTGTCTTCTAGAATAATTTGGTTGCATCGCCTGGTTATGGAAATCTTAAAACTCAGTGACCATGTTATAAGATGTGATGTCCAACTTACTAGAAAACCAAAATTGTATTTTTCCCAACCCTTACCTACATCTACTTTTGGGGAGTACAATGCTTGTGTAATCTCTGAAATTTCTTCAAATCTGGACATAACTATCAGCAAATACTATTTATTGCCTTGTTTTATCTTGAAAGCTTAAAAGAAGCATTTTGTATATTAAAAAAAAACACTGAGCAATATATTATAAGTAAAATTAAAATGGTCTGATTTTCTGTATCCATTTTTATTAAGAAAAGAAAAATAAAAGTGTCAATATCATATCACATTTTTTATGTGACAATATTCCCCAAGTCTTTACGCTTATTTAAATAAAATCTTACTATTAAATTAAGTGCTCTGGTACCATATATATTTTTGCTACTGTGCACTGTTTCTATTTTTACTTAAAATTTTTATTTTATTTAAATTTTTTGTTAAATTTTTACTTTTTACTTTACTACATGTTCCTTTGTAAGAGAAGGCTGCAACTGTTTATGGTGTTAGCAAAGGGCTTGGTTTTCTCCCACACCTTGTCATTGCTTCCTGTCATTATCACAAACATGTGTCTGATTTGCCTCCACACTGATGTTTTTAAATGAACACACTGGTATCTTTGAGAATTTATATATATATGTATATTTTATATATAAAAAAAGAAAATAAGTAGAACATGATTCATTATTACATTAATTGCTGTCATCTTTATACTGTATTTCTAAACATTGTTATTTTCTTCTACACAGGAATTGAATTCCAGCTTTGAAGAGTGGGAAAAATTAATGAGAGCTCCATATTCAGGTGCTACCGAGACTGTCATGGGGTTGATTACTCGCATGTTTAAACAAACTGCTATTGCCAAGGTACACATTACCTGACCATTGTGTGTTTGTGTTGATACAAATTATTTAATGTATTTAATTTTTTTAATTCAGCAACCTAGTTGCATACTGCATCATGTCTTTGCCATTTAATTTTTTCAGTATTTATCATGGAAAAATTCATACATATTCAGAGTAAACAGTATAATGAGCACTGTTACACCTGTTCATATATATATATATATATATATACATATTCATATATGTAAATGTGGAGTAGGATTGTGGTGCTTATTAATTTATTTGGCTGTTTTAGGTCTGAGTTGCAGCACGTGGGATCTTTCTTGTGTCATGGGGGGTCTTTCATAGGGGGGCGCCGGCTCTCTTGTTCTGGCTCATGGACTGTCTAGCTATGGCATGCGGGCTCAGTAAGTTGTGGTGTGGGCCTATTGCTCTGCAACATGTGGGATCTTAGTTCCCGAAAAGAGATCAAGCCGGTGTACCCTTCCTTACAAGGCAGAGTATTAACCACTGGACCACCAGGGAAATCCCCTATACCTGTTCGTATATTGATCCTTTTCTTTAGATGGGTATACTTTGATGAGGGAGTATATTTTATGCTTTCTCATTGAAAGGACTTACATATATTCATCTTTTTTGCCAGCTTTTGCCATGGTCTTACTACAAAATGGCTACTAGTAATCTTTGTTATATGTCAATCATTTTTAATTGGTATTATATTTTTACATTCCTCCAGATATAGTTGTGCTTACATTATGTTTGTCCAGAAGTGCAAGTTAGAGAGTGTTAGTTTTTAAATCTCAGTATGACTATCAAATAGATTCATCACACATTGTTTGTTGCTGTTTTTACCAGCGTCATTGAACTTAAACATACTAATATGTCATCTTTCTCCAAATCTGAAATTTCCTTTATAACATAATTTTTTAAAGAGAAGTTTATTAAGGTATAATTCACATATAGTGAAATTCTTTTTAAAACATACTGTTTGATAAAACTTAACATATATAGTTAATCACCACTACAATCAAGATAGGGAATATTTCTATTACCCCCCAAAGTTTCCTCATGCACCTTTGTGGATCTTTCCTTCACACCTCCTTCTAGACTGGTGTTCACAGATCTGGTTTCTATCACTATTCAGTTCAGTTCAGCTCCGTTGTGTCTGACCCTTTGCAGCCCCATGGACTGCAGCACGCGAGGCTTCCCTGTCCATCACCGACTCCTGGAGCTTACTCAAACTCATGTCAGTCGAGTCAGTGATGACATTCGACCATCTTACCTCTGTCGTCCCCTTCTCCTCCTGCCTTCAATCTTTCCCAGCATCAGGGTCTTTTCCAATGAGTCAATTCTTCGCATCAGATGGCCAGAGTATTGGCATCACATCAGGTGGCAAGTATTCTATCACTATAGTTTTGTGTTTTTCAGAACGTCACAAAAATGGAATCCCGTCGTATATAGCTTTGTGTCTGGATTATTTCACTTAGCAGAAAGTTATTGAATATTCATCCATGTTTTTGCATGTGAAATTAGTTTGTTCATTTTTATAGCTGAATAGTATTTCAATATATGGGTATATTAACATTTATATATCTATATAATGTAACAATTTTTAGAACTTCCTTTACCAGCTAGTGGTTATTTGAGGTGGTCTCAGTTTCAGCTTTTATGAACAAGCCTATTATAATCATTCATGTTCAAGTCTTTGTATGAACACATTTTCATTTGCCATGAGTAAATAACTGAAACTAAGACTGTTGGGTCATATGGAAAGCATAGACTTAACTTCACAAAAAGCTGCCAAATTGTTTTTCAAAGTGGTATAGCATTTTGCATTCCAAGTGTCAACTTAGGAGAGTTCCAGTGTCCTCCATCGTTGTCAGCACTTGATATTGTCAATCTTTTTAAAAATTTTAGTTATTCTTTTTGGTATGTGTGGTGTCTTGTGGTTATTTTAACTTACCTTTTTTTTAATGTCCAATGATATTGAACATATTCTGATGTGCTTTTTAGCCATTCATTTTCTTTTGTAAAGTGTTTGCTCACATCAAGCCCATATTTATACTGCGTTATATGAGCCCTTGATATATCTTAGAAGCAAGTTCTCTAACATATCTGTCATTTCCAAATAATTATTTCAAGTCTTTGGGTCCATTTCTGTTTTCTTAACATTGTCTGTTTCAAGAACAGAAATTTTAAGTTTTGAAACAATCATGTTTATCGATTATTTATTTTCAGTTCAGTTCAGTCACTCAGTTGTGTCTGACTCTTTGTGACCCCATGGACTGCAGCACGCCAGGCTTCCCTGACCATCAACAAATCCTGGAGCTTACTCAAACTCATGTTCCTCAGGTTGGTGATGCCATCCAACCATCTCATCCTTTGTTATTCCCTTCTCCTCCTGCCCTCAATCTTGCCCAACATCAGGGTCTTTTCAAATGAGTCAGTTCTTCACATCAGGTGGCCTAAGTATTGGAGTTTCAGCTTCAGCATCAGTCCTTCCAATGAATAGTCAGGACTGATTTTCTTTAGGATGGACTGGTTGGATCTTCTCGTAGTCCAAGGGAATCTCAAGAGTCTTCTCCAACACCACAGTTCAAAAGCATCAATTCTTCGGTGCTCAGCTTTCCTTATGGTCCAGCTCTCATATCCGCACAATGACTACTGGAAAAAACCACACCTTTGACTAGCGGACCTTTGTTGGCAAGGTAATGTCTCTGCTTTTAAATATGCTATCCAGGTTGGTCATAAGTTTCCTTCCAAAGAGCAAGCATCTTAATTTCATGGCTGCAGTCACCATCTGCAGTGATTTTGGAGCTCAAAAAAATAAAGTCTCTCACTGTTTCCATTGTTTCCCCATCTATTTGCTGTGCAGTGATGGGACCAGATGCCATGATCTCAGTTTTCTGAATGTTGAGTTTTAAGCCAGCTTTTTCACTCTCCTCTTTCACATTCATCAAGAGGCTCTTTAGTTCTTCTTCGCTTTCTGCCATAAGTGTGGTGTCATCTGTATATCTGAGATTATTGATATTTCTCCCTGCAATCTTGATTCCAGCTTGTGCTTCATCCGGTCCAGCATTTCTCATGATGTACTCTGCATATAAATTAAATAAGCAGGGTGACAATATGTAGCCTTGATGTACTCCTTTCCCAATTTGGAACCAGTCTGTTGTTCCATGTCAAGTTCTAACTGTTGCTTCTTGACGTGCATACAGATTTCTCAGGAGGCAGGTAAGGTGGTCTGGTATTCCCATCTCTTGTAGAATTTTCCATAGTTTGTTGTGATCAACACAGTCAAAGGCTTTGACATAGTCAATAAAGCAGAAGTAGATGCTTTTCTGGAATTCTCTTGCTTTTTCACTGATCCAGCAGATGTTGGCAATTTAATCTCTGGTTCCTCTGCCTTTTCTAAATCCAGCTTGAACATCTGGAAGTTTATGGTTCACATACTCTTGAATCCTGGCTTGGAGAATTTTGAGCATTACTTTGCTAGCGTGTGAGATGAGTGCAATTGTGTGGTAGTTTGAACATTCTTTGGCATTGCCTTTCTTAGGATTGTAATGAAAATTGACCTTTTCCAGTCCTGTGGCCACTGCTGAGTTTTTCAAATTGGCTGGCATATTGAGTGCAGCACTTTCACAGCATCATCTTTTAAGATTTGAAATAGCTCAACTGGAATTCCATCACCTCCACTAGCTTTGTTCTTAGTGATGCTTCTTAAGGTCCACTTGACTTCGCATTCCAGAATGTCTGACTCTAGGTGAGTGATCACACCAGCATGGTTATCTGGGTTGTGAAGATCTTTTTTGTACAGTTCTTCTGTGTATTCTTGCCACCTCTTAATATCTTCTGCTTCTGTTAGGTTCATACCATTTCTGTCCTTTATTGAGCCCACCTTTGCATGAAATGTTCCCTTGGTATCTCTGATTTTCTTGAAGAGATCTCTAGTCTCTTGAAGAGACTAGAGATCTCTAAATTGTTTATTTACTTTTTTTTTTAATTGCACTAGGTCTTCATTGCTGTGCATGGGCACTCTCTAGTTGTAGCTATCCAGGGCTACTCTTAGTTGTGGTGCACTGACTTCTCATTGTGGTTACTTCTCTTGTTGTGGATCACAGGCTGTAGGGGCTTGGGCTTCAGTAGTTGCAGCATGTGGACTCAGTAATTGTGGCTCGTGGGCCCTAGACAGCATGGGCTTCAGTAGTTGAGCACGTAGGTTCTAGGGAGCAGGCTCAGTAGGTGTGACACACAAGCTTAGTTGCTCTGTGGCCTGTGGAATCTTTCCAGACCAGGCATCGAACTCATGTCCCCTGCATTGTCAGGTGGACTCATATCCACTGTACCACCATGGAAGTCCTCAATTTTTTCTATTTTGTGCTTTTTGAGTCCTAATTGATTTTTGCTTAATCCAAATTCAAAAAGATTTTCTCCAATGTTTTCTTCTAGAAGTAGTGTAACCTTACATTATATATGTAAGTCTGAGCTAGTTTGAGATAATTTTTTAAAAATATTTGTTTATTTATTTGGCTGCACCTGGCCTTAGTTGCAGCATGTAGGATCCAGCTTCCTGACTAGGGATTGAACCCAGACCCCCTTCACTGGGGGCATGGAGTCTTAGCTACTGGACCACTAGGGAAGACCTGAGATAATTTTTTATGTGTGTGTGATGTAAAGTAAAGGTGGAAGTTCAGTTTGTTTCTTGTTATTGTTCCAACATTCTTTGTTGGAAAGACAGTTTCTCCCTTATTGAATTATCTTGGTACCTTCATAAGAAATCACTTGGTTATGTACATATAAATCTGTTTCTGAACTCTGTTCTGTTTCATTGATCTATACATCAGACCTCAGAGAATACCACACTGGCTTGATTTACTCTACCTTTATAATAAGGCTTGAAATCACATAATGTTCACCTCTACTTGGTTCTTTTTCAAAATTGTTCTGTCTCTTATATGGCCTCTGCTTTCCTTATGATTTATGGAGTTAGCTAGTTTAATAGGTACAGTTTTCATTGGAATTAT